TGTACCCTTGGAGAGAGAACAAGCAAATGGAAGATATTTCTCTCGCTTTTTCTCTCTGTAAGACCTGCCTTCCTTTCCAATAAAAATAGATCTTTTTTTTTTTTTCTTAAGAGGCCTTAGAGATGCCCACATCACACAGGGAAGGGCCTGAGTTTGAGTTCCAGCTCCACTTCCAGTTCTAGCTTTCCGCTGTTGCATGCCTTTGGAGCAGCTCGAGTAGTTGTGTCCCTGCCACACACAGGAAGACCCATATGGAGTTCTTGGCTCCTAGCTTTGGCCTTTCGCAGCTCTGGCTGTTGCAGGCATTTGGAGCGTTCAAGGCGAGGACGTTAGCCGCTAGGCTATGCCACCGGGCCCCAGAGGATTCTTTTTTAAAAAAATTTAGGTATTTTAAGGTCATAGTTACACACAGAGAGATCTTCTACCTGCTAGTTCACTCCCCAAATGGCCACAATATTCAAGGCTGGGCCAGGTAGAAGGCAAGAGTTTTATCCAGGTCTCCCACATGGGTGCAGGATCCCCAGTGCTTGGTCCACCCTTCACTGTTTTCTCAGACTGTCAGCAGGATGTTGGATGGGAAGGGGAGTAGCCAGAACACAAACAAGAGCCCACATGGGATGCTGGGATCTCAGGTGGTGGCTTTACCTGCTATGCAATGATGCCAATCACAAGTTCAGAGATTTTTACAATAAGAATGCAACCCACTCTCCTTTAGTCATAAAAGAAAAGCTTTGTGTTTTTACAAGATCAAGGAGTTCCTTGTCTATTTACTTAAAATTATGACGACTAAAAAGGCAAATAAAACTAGCATGTTTTAAAATACAGATCAAGCAGACTCTGCTGGTTTTTATGCACCTTATGTTGTTTTTACTCTTGCTAATACAAGGGAACTTGTGGTTTTGCATATATCATTCACTGGATCCTGATAGCATGCAAATCTTTAGGAGAGTTATTAACTTCCCCAAGCTATAGATGGGGAGACCCAGGAAAGAAATGATTTTTCTGGATGTGATGTAGTAAGTAGAAAATTCAGAATATGGATGCCAGTGTCTTCTATTTTGCACAGTCCTGGGTATTTTCCCCCAAATGGTTTAAGCTGACCTGTTTGGACATTCTGGGAAGACCTGGCCAATGATCACCCAAATTTCTTTAGGACTTTATCTTGGGTCTTTGCTGTAGCCAGAGGGTGTAGCTTACCTGATGATTGTGGCAAGAGCGACACTGAGAGGGCTTTGAGAAACAGGATCTTCGGACTGGTGTGGTGGTGCAGCACTGCCATCTCATATGGGTGCCAAGTGAGTTCTGGCTGCTTCAATTCACATCTTGCCCCCTGCTAATGTGCCTGGGAAAGCACATTAATGTTTTTTTTTTTATTTTTAAAAGCACATTAATGTGTCTAGAAAAGCAGAGAAGGGCTCAAGGGCTTGGGCCCTTGCACCCACATAGGAGACCTGGGTGAAACGCCTGGCTCCTTGTTTGCGTTGGCCAGCCATTATGGCCATCCAGGGTAGGGAACCAGCTGATGGAAAATTTGTTTCTCACCTCTCCTGCTCCTCTGGCTCTATATCTCGTACAAATAAATAAAATCAATCTTTTTTTTTTTTTTTAAAGAAACAGGGTTTCATGTATTTCAGCCTTGTCCTTGTGTGTTAGGATAATGAGAGAGAATAGTAAAAAGCTGTGTGTTTCTCGGCAGCTCCCTGGCCAGCTGGATGAGAAGACGGGAAGGTGAGAAAGGTAGTATGATGTTCGAGTTTATTACTGTAATGTGCCAAGAGCTTATCGCTTTTCAGGAAGGCCTTGGTGAGTTCTCCCATCGTGTATGATTCAGGAACTGACTTAAGGTCTTTACTTCTTAGTTCTAGAGGGAAAAAATGGCTAGAAGCAGGGAATAAATTAAATGAGCTAGTTTATCAGCAAATCAGACATGGGAACTCTGCATTGAGTCTCAAAGGGTGTAAACTTTTATTCCTGGAAATGTATGCAGTGATGGTGATGAAAAGATGGAGGCCAATTGCAGTATGAGTGTAAATGCTGTTTTCTTGATGAGATCCTAGCCACTGTTTCACTCCTCAAATGCCTGCAACAGCTAGGCCAGGCCAGGATAAAAGTAGGAGTCAGGAACTCAGTGGGACTCCCATGTGGGTGACAGGGACCAGCTTCTTGAGCCATCGTTGTTGCCTGCCAGGATGGGCATTTGTATGAAATAGGAATGGGGAGTAGAGCTAGATCATTAGTATGAAACTGGAATAGAGCAGAGCCAGGACTCAAACCCAGGAAGTTTTAACTGCTGTACCAGGTGTCTACCACTAAAATGAGCTCGAAATTCCTTACAGCTGAATCATATATTAGGTCTTTGAATGAGCATCACATGATTTTGGGTGCTTTAGCAGACTTTTGTAGAGAGGGTTAGGTTAAACAAATGATGAGCTAAGTTATGAATGCAATTGCAGTATCTTGTGACATCAAACACTGATACATAGAAACTTATCAAATCTTAGAGTTTGTCAATATGGTGGGTACTGGGTACACAGTCTGTGGTACAATGCTGTACATGTTTGGATAAGACAATCAGACAAGAAAACAGTAGAAATTTCTTTCAGGTCACATTGAAATTGACCAAGTTAACTGAACTGACTGTGTGTATCAGCAGTTTTGGTGATATATTAATGTTTCCCAATTGTCTTTATCATTTTAAATGATACAGAGCTAGTTCACATCCTAACATGTACAAAGTAGACGCTTGTCCTGTAAATCCAGTATCAATACATGATACAGTATGAATAATTCAGTTCTAAATGAATCAGCAAAGAAAAGGTTTTTCAAATGTCAGATTCTTTTACCAAAATGTCTTGGGAATTTGAGATTTGTTTTTGTGAAGTCTCATATATAAATAAAACGGAATACAATACTTGTCCTTTTTGTGGATAATGAGATTAGAGGTGATAAATTTTATGATTTATGTAATTTTAAATTTTCTAAAATAAATATATTACTTTGTAGTGGGACAAAAATAACGTGGAGTGGTTAAAACAAAAAGGGATAAGGATAGCTTCGTGACGAGGAAAACATTCCCAGCATTTAAAGCAATCTGGCAATGCTTGGAGGCAAAAGACAGAAATCTGACTACACTCAAGCATTTGCCAGATAGCAATACATGACTGCCAATTTTGATTGTGCTATGTTATACGCTATCTGTCACTCCAGCAAGCTGTCACTTTATATGACAAATGGTGACAGAGTTTTGTATTAAGATTGCACACCATTGCACACCATTACATTGAAATGAAGAAATGGAATGAAGTTTTTCTTTTGGTTATGAACCCAAATGATCAGAGATCTGTCTTTATCTCTTTAGGAATGTCAGTTTTTCAAAGATTATTTGGGGGCCCCATGTGATAGCGTAGTGAGTAAAAGTCCTCACTTTGAACTTGCCGGGATCCCATAAGGGCGCTGGTTCAGATCCCTGCCGTCCTACTTGCCATCCAGTTCCCTGCTTATGGCCTGGGAAAGCAGTTGAGGATGGCCCAGAACCTTGGGACCCTGCATCCCTGTGGGAGATCCAGAAGAAGCTCCTGGCTCCTGGTTTCAGATTGGCTCAGCTCCAGCCATTGTGGCCGTGTGGGGAGTGAATCATTGGACGGAAGATCTTCCTCTCTGTCTCTCCTCCTGTCTGTATATTTGACTTTCCAATAAAAATAGATTTTTTTTTAAAATGACTATTTGGAACCAGGGGCAGCAGGAAGAAAGCACTCCTTCCGATGTGCTGGTTCATTCCCCAGATACTTAACAACAGTTAGGATAGGGCCAGGCCAAAATCAGAAGCCAGGGAAAAAGGCAAAGCCTCTCACATGTGTGGCATGGATGCAATTACTTGAGCCACCACCTGCTGAAATCCTAGCCTATGCATTAGCATAAAACTAGAATATAGAGCAAAGCTGTAAGTTGCACCCAAGGCTTCTAATATGATATTCAGCAATCCCGAGCAGCCAGATGCCCAATCCTGGAAATGTTTGCTTTGATTAATCCTGACAGAATTTGGAGGAGGTATATTTGCTCTGTAATCTATAAAGAAGGAATTTGCTGAGTAAGTATCACGTCTGGGGTGATGTTAAAGTGCTCAACAGAGTTATTTTTGAGTCCAATTAAACACTTGTGAGGCTCCACTTACCTGGAAACATTTGAGTTTGTTGGTTACAAATCCATTTTGTTTGTATTTATAAAGAAATTTTATCATTTGATTTCTTTCAGATAAACCCAATAACTCACATGTTTCAAAAATTTTGACTAATTCTTCTTACTCCCTGAGCTATTGGAGTGATTGTCTTGCTGCTTGAATTTACTGCTCTCTTAGTTTACAGAGACACAAACCGCGGCTACCTCAGCTGTTTCAGATGAAGCTGTAGATTAAGGTGAAAACTTGCAGTGCACAGCGTAGCTGCAGAGTAATGGGGAGCAGGTGACAGAGAGGATAGCTTTCACTGCTTGGACTGAAGTCAATGTTGAAGCAGTTCAAGATGCCTTGACTTCTGGATCGTGTGTGTGTGTGTGTGTGTGTGTGTGTGTGTGTGTGTGTGTGTGTGTGTGTGTGTGTGTGTATGAGAGAGAGAGAGACGAGAGAGAAAGCATTAGCTCTTCACATTTCAAACAACTGAAGATATGGATGGTAACACAAAGTCATATCTTTATGCCTAGACCTGCTGATTAATGGGAATAGTTAAATGCAGGATTTATTTTTAAAAATTAAACTATTCCTCATGGTTTGTGGTGTTTTTCAAGATATATTAGATATATTCATAAAGATGCAAAAGATATATTTAAAATACACACATCAATTGCACTGAAAGTGACGTGGAAATAAAAGTTTTAAGCCCCTCTGATGTTTACATAAATTGGCAGCCATAGAAACAAAGTCTTAGTCAACACATTTGCAAGTTCCCCCCGAACACAAATAGCCTCGAACCTTTGGGGCTTGTTCCTTTCAGCTGTTTCATCAGTGACATCACAGTGCCACCTCCCTTGGACTACTTTAGCCCCTGCCCAGAGCCCAGGCGTCCACAGAGCCTGGGGAGATGAGCTGGAGTTGGAGACAGAGTTGAAGAGTGTAAGGAGAAACTTGTAGCAGCCAAGGTGTGTCCTTGACCTTCTTCAGGTAACATCAAGTGTTTTGGCCTTATCATAGGGAAGGTGTGTGTGTGTGTGTGTGTGTGTGTGTGTGTGTGTGTGTGTTGTGTGTGTGTGTGTGTGTGTGTGTGTGTGTGTGTTGTGTACAAGTTTTGACCAAGAAAGGCAAAACAATGTTTATATTTCTTAATGAAATAAACAATGTCTGCCTTAAGATAAAAAATGAATATCATGATTGATTCCAATTTTCTTTATGCATGTTTTCCCTTCCTATTGTGGGAAAACTTTTTCTCACATGACAGAAGTCTGCCTTTTATCTTCTCAAAGGCTCCATTAAAAGAAATACTCAATGTCAAACTTCCTTTCCAAATTTTCATAGTTTTCTTTGGTTTTCAGTTCATCCATGTGGCAGTTGCTTTGGATCATATGGCATGAACTGAAGTCAATGGAACTTGGCTGATTCAGACTTTTGCCTGAGTCTGGATATTCCTAAAAGGCATAAATGTGTGTGCCTAAAGTCCATGCTTAACTGTGAGCAAGTGTTGGACTGAATTAGAGTTTTTAAAAATTGTCTTCCTAACTATGTTCTATTCATTTAAAAATATACAAAGGAAAATAGATACTTAAGTCTACCATCAAAGTGAACATCAAAAATAGGAAAAGAGAAAGCAGAGGAAAGTAAGAAGACTAGTAGATAGCCTGCCCATTGAGAGATGACTAAAATATAATGTGGGAATGCACAGTAAAGGCAGTTTAAACAATGATTTTAGGGCATCACCTGTGTAACTGTCACCCAGGGCAAGAAGCAGGGCCGGTTCAGCATCCCAGACATCTGTCCCAAGCTGTTGAGATGATCTTCTCCTAGCTTGTATTCAGTTTTATCATCCTCCTTAACATCATGGTAAACTTTCCTGGTTTTGACACTATATAAATGGAGCCTTATTTTGTTTCTCTTGTAAATTCTTATTTAACCCAACAATATTATTTCTGAAATCCACCCATTTTTGTTTTGTGTAGCTATAACTGTAGTTCACTTATTTTCTTTTTTCAATAATACTAAAATGGGTGAATATGTCAAATCTGCCATCCATTCTACTTCTGGATGAATATTTGTTTTCAATTTAGGATTGTTGTGAAAATGTTTCTATGAACGTCCTTGTATGTGTCTCTTGGTGACTCTGGGATGGAAGTGAAATTGTTAGATACTAGGGATCAACATTTTCAGCAGTTAAAAAAAAAAGGCAAATTGTTTTCCAAAGTAGTTGAAAATTCCCTTTAGTTTTGTCTATTCAGCCTGGTTATTTGCCAGTAATGACTCATTCTTGTAATCGCTCTTTTGGAGTGACCACAATTCTAGAAAAGAGTTCCAGACTGCCATTCCTAATCCTATCTCTAATTTGCTAAGTACCACTGCACAAACAACTTAGCTCTTCTCTAAAAGTCATGTTTTTTAGTTGTAATCCTGGGTGCCATAAAAATCATAATAATCCTTGCCTGAGTTCTTGTGAAGATAACTTAAATAGAGCTTTGAACAGTTTCCAAGAATATTTTTTTTACTTCTTAAGTATATTCTTGTTGGACTGCTATCCAAGGTTCCTTTTGTTTAAGAGCTTAATTCAATAGGCAGTTTTGGTGAAACCATTATTTTCTTCTCCCTGAGAAGTGTGTTTTAGTCACAATAAGCAGGATGTTTACTGTATATTTAGGGACGTTACCCAGTGAAGTGTGTGGTTCAGCCAAGACTTGAATCCATGTAGGAAATGCTAAGGGAGAGTCTTCTTGATTCTCACTCCTTTGCCTCTGGGCTTCTGGATGGACTCATTACCCTCCTGTTGCCCTCTCGTGTGTGCCGCCTTACACATTCTCACCTTCCTGTATCTGTTCATTTTGTCTGCTTACTTTCTCCTCCAAACAAATCTTTATAAGACGTTCACTGGCAATGTACTATTTTCTTTATGCTGAAGGCCAAGAAACACATGAGAATTAAATGGAAAGTGAATCATGAACCATTCTCATTGACCGTATTTTGAAACAAGATTTAACATCCTACAAGTCAGCATCATCTGATTTAAACCTGCTATTCAGACAGTTAAATAATATGAACAATGATTATTCATCTGGTGTTTATGTAATAATCTGGCCCATTCATAAATAATAAATATAATAGTTACAATTAATAATTTACTATAAGCCAATAAGTTGGCAACAACTCTTTAGTTCTTGGAGCTCCCACCTTTAGCAAACAAACAAACCCCTTTTCTTTCCTAAACATTTTCAGTCCATAGTAGACTTTTGTTCTAAATATCTAAAATGTAGATATCTAAGAATCTGAAGCTACCTAAAATGTGGAAGTCTCTCATTTATTACACAAACACATCACTAAGGCAGTATATTCACTGCACATATATGTTCTCAAAATTTGATTCTCTGCATGTGCAACCTCCACATGCTGTGAAGATACCGTCCCTGCTCTTTGAAGTGTTTTCAGTCTAGGCACATCCTGGACTTGACTAAAAATAGCTGGCACAAGCCCTTTTTGAAATAGAAGTACCCAATGAGGTTAACACTTGCTCTTTGGACTGAGTGTCTGTTGTGTGAGGGACTTGCGATTGACCCTAGTAGGCTCTGTGCCCTGTGCAGGGCTTGTTAGAAGCCATGCAGCTGTTGGAAGTAGTTTGTGCTTTCACCAAGGTTAGATAAAGACTTAAAGCAGCCTGGAATTAGAAATATTATGATCTCCAGTGTCTATAGGGAAAGTCACAGCAAGAACAATACTGAATTGGGACATTTTTTTCTGTTTGGGTGCCCTTACTTGGTGATACTCTAAGTTAGCAAACAGAATGAACATACACACACTCAGAAATATGAGAAAAATGTGCTATTTTTATTTTACCCATGGAATCAATGCAATCATCACAAGAAAAAATCAAAATGAGCATGTTGGATTTCATGACATTAAGCAGTGAAACCCAGGTGTTCTGTATTTGTCAGGGTTCTTTGGAGAAACACAACTCTGTGTGTGTGTGTGTGTGTGTGTGTGTGTGTGTGTGTGTGTGTGTGTGTGTGAGAAGGTTATGGAAATGGGAAGTCCAAAGTCTTCAGGGCAGGCTGGCAGATTGGAGAGATACCTAGTTAGGATGTGCAATTCTGGTTCAAATATGATCTGTGATCAAGGTGTTGCCATGGTGGCTTTTTTCTGAGGCTTCCCTTTGGCCTTTGAATGGACCTGTGTGTTCCCATGGTCTTCCTTCTGAATACACCTGTGTCCTAATCTCCACTTGTTACAAGGACAGCAGTCAATGGAATAGGACCCACCTTGCTGACCTCAGTTGATGCAATCATCTTTTGAAACCAATTCCTATCTCTTAAATGCACATTCAGAAGTATTGGAGGTAGCATTTCAACAAGTGACATCTGGAGGGACATGGTTTAGCTCCCAACAGTCTTCTTTTCTACAACATTTTTTTAGCTCAATAATCTCCCATGTATTCTTTGTTGCTGTCATTACCAGGAGAGCAAGAGCCAGAGGTCTTTGGTGTGCCCTTGGAAACCTGCCTGAAGTTCTCACCAAGCCACGCAGAGAATGGAGCGGTCCACTCGGGAGCTGTGTCTCAACTTCACTGTTGTCCTTATCACAATTATCCTTATCTGGCTCTTGGTGAGGTCCTATCAGTACTGAGAGGCCATGCCACATACACTTGGGATTGACTGAGACTCTGGAGCTGTCTTCTGTGTTCCCTGTGCTCCCACTGCTGTCACTGTCATGGGATGCCATCCTGGCACCCCCAAGTCACCTCTGTTTTGCACGCACAATGTTGACATACTCCAGTACTAGGGTCGATCATGTATTCTTTTAAGATGCTGCTTTTGAGGTCTGCCAACTGTTTGCCAGTGAGTGTCAAATTTATTTCCCAGCTCTTACTGCAAACACATTAGACAAGCCTCAGGGTTAAAACTAAACTGGATTCATGATGATAGAGAATTGTAACAAGCCCCTGATGTGTCTCACCATACAACTTTTCAACTGACACTGTCTGTGACCGAAAACTCAAGTTCAACCCAGCAGAAGAAATGTTATAGGAGGTCTTTGTCAGCCCTTATAGCTATCATGTGAATAAAGTTAAGTCAACCACAAAAACTACTTTTAGAATTTATTTTAGTGTCTCTGTGTGGTACAGCATTTGACCCTTGGCTGGGATTGAAGTGACAAATTCCCCAGAATTTCTAGCATTTGAAATAAGCCAACTGCATAGGATCTGAAGCCAAGTCAACTAAGTGTCATGTTTCAAATTAAGTCCAAGGGCTCAGTGTTCCTCAGGGCTTTCCCCTTAAACTAATCTCAAGGGCAACAGGAGGGAAAAAAAAATCTGTTCCCCTTGGGGTTCTGGAAGCTAGCCTGAAGTGTCTGCTAAAAGTGCCAAGGTTCTTAGAAGTCTTGTGACTCAGCTCTGGAATTTCCAAGAACTCTATCTTCTACCCCATACTATCTTCACGAACACTTTAATATTTCGAATTATTTACCACTGAGTAGGACTGGAATGTGCCGTGTCTTTAACTTGTTTCCTGGCTTAAAGAAAGCTCATCTCCATGGGTTGAGCTGTGCATATGGTGGTGCAGAGGGAATTGAGCAGGAATGACACTATTCCTTCTCACCTAGTCTGAGCTCAGGTGCCCGCAGGTACAGCAGATGCTGTTTATTGGTCTCCTGTATATGATGCACTGTGCTAGGCTCTTTCAGTACATTATAACTAGGCAATGTGGGAGCTCAGGGGCAGAGTCCTTGTCAACTGGGTATCTGTGATAAGAGGAGCAGGACTAAATTGTCTTCTTAGTTTCTGCTAGGGACCACTTCCAAATGATGCCCAACACATGTCCACTTCTTTGTTTTAAGTTTAACACTTTTTAAAATTTATCCATTTTTATTTGAAAGGCAGATTTTTGAGAGAGGAGAGATAGAGAGGTCTTCCATCTGCTGGTTCACTCCTCCTATGTCTGCCACAGCCATTATGGGTTTCCCAGCACCTTCCTCAGTAGGCAGGGGCTATCTATACTCGAAGTCCTACTATTTTAGAATCTTGTCTTGATTGCGTAGAACACTGCAGAAAGTACTCAGCAACAAAAATAAATTGGTTCTGCTGCTTTTCCCTATGACATACTATCATGATCTTGGATTTTTTTAAAAAAAACAACTTTTCTGTTTTCAAAAGGTTTGTGTGTGTGCCAGAGAAGACTCTTCTCAGCTGCTCCATGTCCACGTGTAGCTTCTCCTTCTTTCCCTGGCCCGGGGGCCTTACTTCCACTTACATTTCCAGTCACTTCAGATCATGTGTAATGCTCCAAGTGGTCCAAGTTCTCTTCCACTTTAGTGACCTTACACACTTTTCCTTCTACCCGAACTTCAGCTCTCTTTCCCTCCCTAACCAAGCCCCACTCATTTATTTAACTGCCATGCAATCATTACCTCTTGTAAATTATTCCCAGGCAATTCCTCTTGTTGGGCCTCAAGCCTGACACATTCATATCACCTATCACATTGCACTGGTTTGTCCACCTTTCCCATGTGTATTTCTTGTTTGATGAAGTTATGCCCTGTGCTTGACTGAGCTCTCAGTTGATCCATCATTGTCCTTGGAGAAGTTAAACACATCACTGAGGGCTCGAGTAGCTATAAAAACCTTTGGAATAGGTATGCACTCACTTCTCTGATTAGGGGCATGATCTATGTCCACTGAAGTACAAATAAAAAGAAGGCATAACAAGAGTTCTAGTGCTAAAGGTTTTATTGCATCAATAAGCACTCGAGCAAACCAAACTTCTTTTATCAACTTTAGGCAGTTGAAATAATTTTTCCAAAGGCAGTTTGCTTCAGGATGAAATATTCATGATGCTTGTTTCTTTTGATCTGTCACTATCACCATCCTGAACAATTTGACGATGTTTATGAATTACTCATCAAAGCCCAATGTGTTGAGCATATTTCCAAATTCATCTACAAAGAGGGTGGTACTGGAGAAATTTCCATTTTTTCACACTGCATAAAGTTAGGGTCAGAATTCATGTATAAACAGCTTATTCAAATGAGACTTTTTGCATGCCTACAGGGAGTAGGAGCTTTCACCTGTGTTATTTCATTGTTTATCTTAGGAAGTATTTATATTTATTCAGACCTTAACCACGAGATAATAGAGGCTTTGAAGAGGCAAGACACAAGCCCTAAAATCCAGAGCAAATACAAGTCTTCCCAGCTCTGAGATCAGGTACATGGGCACAGGGGCACACGGCTCTGAGATCAGGCACACAGACTCTTCCCAGTCACCACAGCTGCTCCTCTGCAGCACAGGGCATGTGCCTCCTCCCCGTACTCTGGCTGAAGGTGCTCTAGGTGTGGTGTTTCCAGCTCAGTCATACGATGTGTGCAACTTACACATTTCTGTATTTCTCGAGAATTGGAAACAAGCCCCAGTGTCATCTTTTCTTTGTCAGTTAGCTGAGCAGTAGATGATAAGGGAGGAGAATGTTGGTGGCTGATTAGCTCTTTTCAATGTGTCAGTGTTAGTTGTAGGGCTCCAGCGGAAATGACAGCTCCATCTACAGTGTTAGCTGGTTAGACGCACTTGAAGGAATTTGTCACATGGTAATTTTCATCTCCTATTTGTTAGAACATTTTAAAGTAAGGCACTTTAGAAAACACGGTCTTTCATTTCATAGATTGCATTTCACTTAAGAAATGGTGACCTCTGATCAGTTACTGAATATTTTTTTTTAGTCCTTATTTCCTTATTTCCCAAAACAAACACTAATATCTGAAGAATCACTGTTGAGTCAGCCAGGGCTGTGCAAGGCCGAAGCCACAAGTCAGGAGTTTCTTTGTCTCTCCTCTGTGGGACTATCTCCCACTGCTTTTCCAGATCACTAGCAGGGAGTCGGGTGGAAATTGAAGCAACTGGGAATTGAGCTGGCACCCATATGGGATGCTTTCATTACAGGCAATTGCTTAATTCACTAAACCATGAGATCTGCCCCTATTTATATTTATTTGGGAAGCAGTAAAACAGATAGCCAGCTCCCATTCACTGGTTCACTCCCCAAACACTTGCAATAGATGGAGCCTATCTCCAGTGATGAAGTCTAGAACACAACCCAGGTCTTCCAAATACATGGTTGACAGGAACATAATCACTTTCAGTATCACTGGTGCATCCCAGAATCTGCCTTAATGGGATCTGGAATAATTAGCTGGAACCAGGAATCAAATCCAGGCACTCAAATATGGGATATGGACAACTTAATGCCCAACCCTCTATTCCCTTGACCTAAAGACTCTCCTCTTTCTTCTTCCATTATGCCTCCTTCCTCCCCATTTTCCCAAAAGAAGCTGACTTTGCAGTCTCCACTTCCAACCCTTCTACCCTGTTCCAAGTCAGCTGCCACATTGGCTCTGTAGATTGTCTCACAAACAAGTTTGCCTCTGTGTATCTCTGTCCACAGCTCTGCCTGTGCTATGCATGTGTGGTTTGAGTATGTTTGTCCTCAGCATCACTCAGGCTGAAGCCCAATTCCTCCATGTGGCAGAGTTGGGAGGTGGATGTAGCAGATGTGTTGGGAGCAGAGACCTCATGAGTAACTGAATGTCTCCTGGCAGGAAGAGTGAGGTATGGCTCTCACAGGACTGAGCCGGGTACAGCGAGAGCAGGTTCTGAAATGAGTTCTGCTGCCTCACTTTCTCTTGCCTCTCCTGTAGCTGTGTCTGCTCATCCTGGCCTTTCTGCATGAGGTCACTCCCAGCTGGAACTTCCCAACTCCTAGAATCATGACCTACATAAACAACTCTTCTGTCTGCTCCGGCAGCAGCAATTCGGTGAAGACAAGTTAATAAAAGTCAATTTTGAAACTGAGGTTATATAACATGTTAGAGCGTCCGTAAGTAGAACACTTGTAAAGAAGATGTTGGAATTGTCATTGAATTTTGAATAGCTTTTAGAGACACTGAACCTCAATAAGTCTTTGCAAGTGATGTCTCCATTTGATCCTCACGTTTTCTTTAACATCTCACTATACCCAAGGACTGACAAATCAGTGCAAAGCAGTCTCCACTTTAGACCCCGGATTTTTAAAATTCAGAACTATGTTGCTTTCTTCTTGGGTAGGTAAAATGAAAATAGATTTTCCCGGGAGTAGCAATTCCCTCCAGGTTAGTGGAATGAAAGGTGGTCTGAGGCTCACATATGGCAGACCCGCATCCAACATGAGCTGCCTTTTTTCCAGCCACTCATCTGCTTTACGTCCCTCTGACATCTCTTCATAAAGGACATGGAGAAAATGAATCTATTTTCATCACAAGCTGTGTCTGCAAAGGTGAAATAAGGAGAGGAAACTCAACCCCGCCCCACCACCATCCACATGCACCCAATCATGTCCAAGCTAATTTGTCAACATGGCAAATTTTTCAGACAGCCAGAGTCCATGGCAATGGTCTGACAAGCCAGTATGAAAGCTGCTTAAGTCCTTTGCTGAATCCCCACCTGAGTTTTCCATTCATCTAGGATACAAGGCACTCACCGAGTCTTCCAATCAATTTTGAACATTCTCTGTGGGTGGAAAAAGGGACCCTGAAATCTGTGAGTGGGAGAGCTACACAGGTGACATTGCAAAGACCTTATAATAAGTTGCCATTCCCATTCCCACATTGTTAGACAACTAGAATCACAGTAACAATGTGGGCCACCTGGACAAGTGGAAAGATGAATATGTAAGCTTTAATTGGGTCACACGTGATGGTATCATCAGATTTTGATTTTTGAAAACGAGAGACAGCCACATGCAATTTGAGGGACTGCCAACTCAAGGTTCATTATCCATTATGCCATATGTCACTGAGTTTTAAGTGTGCTTTGGGGCCAGTTCATTCTGAATGTCATTTATGAAAGACCACATCTCTGACATTTAAGATGATTGATGATTAGTCTCTGGAGCATAAAGTATTCTGTTCCTCAGAAAGATGTGTATATAAAATATATTTCCCTTGAAGAGTTTGGCACTTGAAGCTCTCCCTCCTGCCCTATGCCCATTTTCCTGGTACTTTTGGTGAACCAGGTATGCTCATTCTGATACCTTCATGGTTAATATGGACTT